AGAGTGACTCAAGCCATTCCAGGTAGTATACCATTTGGGCACTTAAAAGGTTTTTAAAATACTATTAATTGTTTAAATCATGATGTCGAAAGCCTCTGGGTTATAGTATGCCTTCATGACTTCACAAAAGACACATAAAGACCTATCCTGGCTTAGTGTTCAATCTTCAGTACTAGAAAAGTGGTCAGATGGTTGGAAAGAGATGGAGCTGTTTGTGAGATCAGGGGAGCTGATCATCTCCAAGCTTCCAGCACTGGTATCACCAGCTCTGCCCCCAGGTTATAAGAATTACATAGCATTAGGTGTCGAGCAGAACACAGTCAGGGGAGCAATTTAACTCAAGATCTGTGTCTGGTGCGCTACAACAACCAACTGCTGTTTTCCCTTTTTTGTTTATTCCCAACAGTATCCCCAAAACTCATCGATCCTTGTTTGAACCCTGTAACTGTAGAAGCCAGCCTCATGTGCGAACAGAAAATAAATACTTACCTAATGAGTAAGTGATTGAGGAAATGATGATGACTGCACCTTTGGCTTTTTGATCAATGGCAGTGGATGAAAAGTCATACTATGAATATACATCGTCAAAGCAAGTATCTAGAAGTTAAGCTTAACTACAGCAAGGCAACATAAGTGACACTTAGTCTTGTTTCACTTTTGCTTTTGATCCACCTAATATTGCTCTCTCTAGTAATAGATGAAAGCCACAACAATGAAAAATTCTTAACAACCTAAACCACCAAGTAAGACTTACACTGGACAATTTCAGCATGATCAATTTATGATGAATCAAACAATAAACATTTGATTCGACTGGGTACCTGGAAGCAGACTGTATTTAATTTTTATGTTATGCATCTGCCCTTTACAAATGTTAATAAACTTATACTAACATTTTCACCTACTTAAGTGATTTTAAAGTGACATTTTATGTCTGTAACTTTGAACTTAAGCATTTAAATGATCATCCACTGACCCAAAGTATGTACCACAGAAGAGTTAAAATGTTCACTAATTAAAATAATAAATGAAACTGCTTCATTTTGGAAGGAGCAGCACACCAAGGTAACCTTTTATTCAACAAATATAAATTGGCATTTTATTCAGTTGATGACTGTTAGTATGGTTGGAAATCTTTACAAAAAATGTTATTTGGGGGATTCTTAAAGCTAGGAAGGGTGTGAAATATGAATTACAACATCAGAAAATACACTCTATTTTAGCTTAATAAGCTGTATTTCTATGCTGAAACGTAAAAAATGCTGGTTTACAAAAGAGAATAAGAAGATTGATGGGTTTCTTGGCTCTGACACCATTAGAGGATTTTTTGTTTTGTTTTGACTGTGTGGTCTCTGGTGTAAGTGGAAATCACTGTCTGAAAACATATATTGCTAAATAGACATGAATATTTTTTAAAAACCTAAATGAAAAGAAAAACTCACATCTAAATTTCTTTTTTTTCCACGTGGTCAAGTAATCTGACTTTACAAGTTTATAAGAAATCTGCATTATTCCTCTCTCTGATGTAGTCAAGCTTCGTGTGTACTTGTGATATCACAGCATGTTCTTACAAAAATTAATTCCACATCAAAAAGGCAGGATAATGATTACTTTCAGCAGAGGGACAGATAAGGCAACAGAGGGACACTGTGGTTTAAGCACAGATAGTATATAATTAGGAACAAGAAAAATCAAAGTATTCTTGACTATATATTGCTTTTATTTTTCTCCTGATGGGCTTTCAGTTTACATTAAAAGAGCCATTAAAAATCTTCCCCTGGAAAAGATCCATTAAAAATCACAAACACAGAGACACTTGGAGAATACAGGAGCAGAAGGGGAAAAAAAAAGGATCATCTTATAAAATTGATCATGTGAACTCTCTACATGCAGGACCTATGTCAGCAACCAGGAAAAACAAAATTTAGATAAATTCGACAGATATTCTTTCTTCTGGAGAAAAGCCTCAATCTTTCTGTACATTGTAAAGCAAAAGAGGGTAAGGTGGGAGCAGTTAAGTTTTATCCATAAGCATAAACATCAGGCTGGCTTTTGAAAAATAAGCCAAACCCAAAATAGCCCACAAAAAAAATATTTTATAATAAAAAAAAGGACTATATATATTTTTCCCGTCCAAATCTGGAATCCTTACTATCTAAATTTTAAACAAGCCAGAAATTGCACGCTTCAATCTGTTTGGATAGAAAAGAATTTATATAAATGTTTTGTTCCAGCCCAAAAGGGAAAGAGGGTTTAAATATACAGTCATGAAAGATGCATGCCCAACTTCAAAACAGCTTAGTGCACAGAAGAGGAAAAATAATCTAACCTTCTGTTAGTCATTCGCAGCAGTCTTTGAGCTTAAATATCTTACAATTTGCAACATCGTTTCAATGACCTGGGGATGTTAAGAGATTAACCAAAATTTCCTAACTGTCTTGCTCTGGTGCCTCCTTGGTGGGGAGAACAAGAGGGTCAAAGAACAAAATGGAAACAAAAATCTGAATTTTGCTCCCTTCCTCCGCACTTGAGAAAGAAAAACGGGGCAGATAAATCTGTATAATACTAAACCAAATCTCTTTAATTCCAGTCGGCTTTTATCATTCAGTCACTGAGTCTGTGTGTGGAAAAATTCATGCTAATTCCCCCTAGCAACAGCCTCAGCCTATCAGGAGGCTTTATGGACCATGCAGCTGCCAGGCAGAGAGAATAAGTCTAAGTAGGTCAGGCCTGTATTTCTAAAAATGCTACGGTCTAGTAACCCCACTGTCCCGTCTGTCTGCCCTGCCCCATAATAACCTCAATTGCTTGGTGACACAATGACATACTACCCTGGTGGAGAGCAATCGCATCATGCTACATTATTCTGCTTGGAGCATGACTGCCAGGGGAAGGACCCTCGGAGGGACAGCATTAATCAGGCAGCCATTCACGTCCACCAGCACTTCACTCGAGAAATGGGGACTGCATTAATGACCAGCTGTTTGAGCTAACACAAACAAAATAATGTCTTCCACCCTGTTGGGTGCACAGAAGACGCTATTCTGATCTGGCAGGTTCCACTCCTTGACTAAATCGAAGATGTAAATTAAAAGGGCTCCGACCATGTCGGCTTTGGCAACCTCAGAGTAAGTATATTTAAATTATATTACATGGGATTCAAAAAAGCTATTGATTTAATATCCACGGCTTTCCCTGCGGACGGTTCCCCTAATCCACATCAAAAAAAAGAAAGAAAGAAAGAAAGAAAGAAAGAAATGCATACACAGGGTAACGCAATACATATGCACATATTACCCAGGAGCTGAACTAAAATTGACTTCAGGCAGAGAAACAAAGCGGGTGAGGAATTATTGTGCAGAGTGAACACAAATACAAATACGAAATGAATGCTGCGGGAGGAGTGCTGAAAACAAATAAGAGTAAACATCCTAAGCCTACCAACCAATCAGCTCCTCCCACTGTCTCTTTGTGGGGGCTGCAGTCACACCAAAACCTCTAAGCACCAGAGCCAAGGGAGGGAAGTGAACACAGCCTTCAAATCTCCACTACTGTGCTGCCCTGACTTCCCAGGGGGTTACCAAGGGACTGCTGTCTGGCTTCAAGACAGCCACGGCTCCTTCCAGGTTTATACCAGGGCTACCAACAGAAATCAGAACCCCAATGTGAGTTTTCCAATGCTAACATGGGGATTTCAGAATGTAATTGACCATATTTATTTGAATGTAATTTTTAACTCCTCTCCACAATGACTCACAAAAACAAGCAAACAAAAATTACATGTGGATGCAGAGATAAGGGAAGCTGGCAGAGCGGTTTCCAGCTAGTTGGGGAAATATCTTGTACTGATAGGGCAGGCACTGATTATTTTCTTGCACGATTAATCTCCGTTTTTAAGGGTTCATGGTTTCATTTAATGAACATAGAGTATCCCCTGCCCAACAAACTGGTAATTCAGCCTTCAATTATGCAGAATTCAGCAAGTCTTAGACGTGTAATCCATCAGTATTCGATTTAAAAACACAGAAAATTCCTTAATCCATTTGCCCTTGTTTGAACTGGGTTTGATAACTTAGTTATGACTATCTTCTTCACTTTGTGGCACACATCACACAGTTATTCTTGGAGAGATACAGTCACTGACGCAACCATGAACCACTAATTACAAGCTGCTGACATTCTGCTTGTCTGTGCAGCTTTGAAGTTCTAAGTCTGTTTTTCTTCCCTATGCGCTTGCTCAGTTTCCTTCTCTTTCCCTCATTGCTCTCCTCTTCCTTCCTCCCCCACCATCATTCCCCCTTTCCTTCTTTCTGTGATTCGCTCTAGAACTACCTGGAGAAATCAGTAAGAGTGACCGGCTTCTCCAACCTGCTTTCTTTCCATCTGCTCCCTACTCTCCACACACACACACAGATCTACAGTTTGGAAGTACAGTAACAAGATCCCCACCCAGCCCCGCCCGCAGGAATGCATCAACAGCTGGCCAAACATAATCCAACACACAGAGCTGCCTTTGTAGAAATAGTAACAAACAGTGGAAGGGCCAGACAGGCGTCCCAGAAGAGCTCCCCATGACAACTGGGAAAGTGCCTCATCCCCAGATTTGAGCTGACTCTACCAAGCTGGGGTGAGAGCACCCCAGCTCACTCATCTGAATCCAAAACAAGCCCCAGGTGCCTCCACCAACCTGACCAGAGGCTGTTCCAAGGGCACCCGCCTCTCCATACAGCAAGGCAGATGCACTAAGTATGACCATGCTCTGCCACATGGCACACGCCCTTGGAAATGCAACACCGCGATCCCAAACCTCATGACGGCATCCGCATCTGTATCTAACCATCTACCGGCGAGTTGGTAGGACCACCTATCTTCCTTAGAAAAGGACTTTCTTTTTTTAATTAAAGACTGATCCTGGAATTCTGAAACACATGAATATTAGACTGCATTCATCTCCACTGAACATGTAGCACCTGAAGCCTGTGGTAGCCAGCTGGTCTCAAACTCATCTGGGATACATATATTTTGATTAAATTGATCAGATTTCTATTTACAGGATAGACTTTTTCACCATGCTGAATACAGCTGTGTTTACAGGCATTTGTAGACGAAGAAGAAAACAAAACCCTGCAATCAGTCCCAGGAAAGCACAGAGCACTCAGAACTTCAAGGAGTTAAAGCTGAGGAGGGCTGCTTTCACAGTAACAGGAAAATTCTGCAGGCAGCTGCTTTGGCCATGCTCTCTAGCTCGTCAGGAAATGGGTGTTGAGCTGAAGCTGAGAATACAAGCTGCAATCAAGCCCGATCCAGCAAAGTGACAGACTTCCTGTGTAAAATGGTCAGAAATCTCTCCTTTTCTTCTGTTTCTACATGCATGCACATGCATTTAATTCCATGCTGCAAGGCTGCTCTTTTCTCCGGGGACACTGGTACAGTCACCTAGCCCATCAGTTTCTTCCCTGACAGCACCGGGAACATCCAGACTACAATTTACAGTTCCTCCATCCATGTACTTGGTTATAAATTATGCCATCCTCCCTAGAATGAGAATGCAGAGCGAGCGGCAGAAAAACACAACGGCATTCGGCATCTCCTCTTTCTTCTCAGGCGCTCCCTCCTCTGCCTCTCTCCAACTCTGCCTCGTTGTCAGGCAGGCAAACACATCAGATACCTGGTTTATCCATCTTCAGCTCCACTCTCAGGTAAAATGCCACCATATCTCGGCACAGGTTGTCCCCACAGACTCATCCCCGGGAGAAGCCCGAGCTGAGTGTGTGTGGCGGGGGCTGAGGCTGCGCTTGCCCGGCAGAGGACCGGTGGGCATCGGATGGGTAGTGCTCCTCCTAACTTCCCCTTCCCCGGTCCTTGGCGCTGTCTATCCACCCCACCCCGGGTCTTCTGCTGCGTCACCCTGTCCTCCAGTCCCCTCGTCCGGCTGCGAGGGGACCCTGGCCAGAGCTCCACCGGCAGGTCCTCCTCCCGCACTGCGTAGACCAACGATTCCAGGTTGGGGTGCACCATGGCGAAGCGGAGGCCAGGAGACAGCAGGCGCAGCGCAGGTAACCAGGGGAAGCTTGGTGTGCCCACAGCGATGCAGCCCTGGAGCTGTGAGGAAAGACGGTCTGGTCTGGCTTCAGAATGAGAAGAAGGAAAAAAAAAAAAAAACGGAAAGAAACACAAAACAGCGCAGCTCAGCGCCTGCGGGGGTAGAAAAAAAAAAAAAACAGACACAAATCGTAAAAAAAAAAAAAAAAAAAGCAAGAGTTAAAATCAAATTTCCAAAAAAAAAGAAAAAAAAAAACATAGATCAGAGGACTTCATGCGACTTTTATTTCTGACGTTTCTGGGTTTATTGGCCTCCCCGCCCCCTCCAAAATCTCTTCTGCCCCTGAAAGATACTGCCCATGAGTTGCCGAGTCACAAAGGCTTTTGCTCCAAAGTACTGCAGACCCAGCGTCACATGAGAAGCCACATGACAACTGGAGTCGGCTGCTGATGTGGTCAACTATGTTGCCGAGGCAGGGGGAGCAGGAGGGAGACAAACATTAAGCGAGACACGCTGCCAGGAAGAAATTTCCTTAAAAGAACAATGAGGAAAAGGCATCTCTGAAGAAATGCCTGGGAATGCCCATAGACTTTTATACATGCACACTTACTAAAGAGACCATGGGTGCTTGGAGACATTTTTGAGGATGCTGTACCGCAGACACTAGCTGGATGGCAGCAATATTATTTCTAGTTTGTATTAGCCAAAGCTGATTCCACTTAAGTGGATTCCTGAAAAGCACACACCATGTCTTCATAGCATGATCAGGCTTGGAAAACCAATTCTATTATCTCTCCCTGCAATCTGTATCTGAACCTGCATTCTGAATAATTTATTTTTAGACTAATACAATGCTTGCCAAGACCGCTCCCTTTCTTCAGCGAGTGGCGCAGGCAGTATTCACCCAAGTGGGAGAAGCTCGTCCCGTTGTAGGGAGAAGAGACGAGACGGTTTTCATCATTTTCAAAAAATGCAATTTCTTATTTAAAGGCATACAAACACATAATAAAGTTCTCCTGCAAATAAGCATTAAAAACAAGTGAAATGTTTCTGCTTCGTTGAATTGACATGTCCCTTATTTGCAGTCTGGCATCTCATGCTGGCAAATGGTGGTGATATTTTTCTAACACTGCTCAGTGGCTGCACTAGAGCACATGGATACTGCTACTTCTCAGCAGGGCGAGATCAAACAACTGCTTTCTGGAGCACTTCTCTGCAGAGGGACCGCATTGCCAGGTATGTTTTACTAGTTTCATTAAGGCTTGTAGGAGAGAGACGGCCTCGGGGCCTTGGAGATTTCATCACTCATCCTGGAATCAAGTGAACTGCCTCGTTAGGACATCCTGCCCACGATGTGAGAGGTATGTTTCTTTAGAAAATTAGATCATGCCAGCTAACTAGAACCAGAGAATCATTAAACAGGTGGCGAAAACTGTCTGCAACTTGTCTTATTCAACTGCAGACATCAAGGTAAGTGGCCATGAATTCATTCAAGATGCACTGATCAGCCCCCAGGATTGTCCTAGATACTGGGGATCCACTGGGGAGCAAGAGGGCGTGGTCTCTGTCATCTTGAAGCTCACAGTCTAGTAACTGCATGCCCTTTTCCCCTTTTTTTTTTCTCCTTCTCTCAATTTGAATACTCCAAAGCTATCCAACAAAGAAACCCAGTAGTCACTTTTTCACTCGTTCCTGGCCAACATCACGTATGAACTCCCAAATTCTACAGATTCTTTCCTTACAAACTACCTTTGAATATAAGATTTCCTCTTCATGGCTCTGGAGTCCATGCTTCTGCACTCATGCCCTCACACTCAACCATCTTCTCTCTGGTCTCCCTCTTTTTGTTCCAGTCCATCGGGCAACCTGCCTCTAGATGAATCCTACTAAACCACCATGCTGTCAATGTCCAGAACCCCTGTTCCTGTGGTCTGGATGGTCCTCTGTCCAAAACCGAGGATGGCTCCTTATTTCTCGCAGGCAGCTGCCACCAGTAAAGACACTGGTCTGATTGTACATTACCTATTTGTAAATTATCTGACTGGCTGCTATCTATTTAAGTAGAGTGGTCTATTCCTGATCCTCGGAACACAGCATCCACTGAATCAGGAAAAATATAATTCTGGCATACTTTTGGTAATAACCATGCATAGAAGACCGTAAGAAAAACAAAAGACACATAAGGCACTATCCCTGCCCTCAAAGAACCTATAATCTACAGAATCTGGGCTACTTTTCTATTAGCACTAACCATTTACTATCTTGAATTGCTATCTCTTCAAGTTTTATTTCCTATAAAATAATAAATAGGTCTAACTCTGCCCACTCAAGGAATGTTGCATAAATAACAGCAGAAGGGCTGAAAAGGCGAAGACTACTTCTACCTAAATTGTCGGGAAATATCCCCAAAGAACCCCGAGATTTGCAGTGAGCTATGAAATGTCTGGCCAGGGGAGGGGAGAGGGGTTTGGGTCGTAACAGTAACATCAGTAGCCAAACACTAGCTCTTAATATGTGCCAGGGTCTCTTCTAAGCATTTCACACACAAACATACTTAATCCTAACAATCCTGTGAGGGACTTACTGCTTTAATAAGCTCTTTTCAATGACATAGGACAGAGGCACAGAGGAGAGGTTAAGTAAGCTGCCCAAGATTGTGCAGCGAGCAATTGGTAAAGCACTTCTGGCCCCGAGCACATCTTCTGGACCACCAGGCTGGACTGCCTCCGAGTTGGAAAATAGTGGGAGGGAAACCAGAAAGGTGAGAATGCGCAACCGTGCCTGCAGGTGCATGAAGGGATCAATTTGGTTCAAGGAGGGTAATAGTTCTGTACAAGTGAGACTGAGACCGAGGAGAGCCATGTTATAAGGCTAGGGCGTTTACCAGCCTAAGCCATGGGAACAACCAAACTGTAAGAGAATGAGGCTGAAATAGAGGGGGGAGGAAAACTAGGTTTCAGAAGAGGAATAAAGAGGCTCCCTTCAATAGCCTGACCATAAGGGCATGGTGCCTGAACTCTGGTGGTGGCAGAAGAAAACCTGAGATAGATTCTGGAGGTTCTACAAAGAAAGAAATGACATTACTAAGGTATTCTCGGGGGACGGGGAAAAGGATGACAGCAAAGTTGACTGCACGTCTTGTTAAGCCTGGAAAAATAAAGCAAGCAGTGCCTTGAGCTTAGGAGGTGTGTCATTAATCTGTTTTCCCAGTAGCAAGCACAACACTTTACGAATCTTTTTAAAATGGTGAGTGACTAAATGAAAGTAATGGAGGAAGAAATGGGAAAATTAAAAGTGATGCCACACAGAAGGAATAACTTTACAGATAACTTAGTATTTCATAGAATATCCAAGAAGAAAGGTCCATCGTGAAATTTTAGACAAGAGAAATAGAACTCATCTTTCCTTTCCACCTTTGGCCCAGATTTTCAACGATGCCTGTGTTCACCCACCACACACCTCAGACGCTCCTCTCCAGGTTGATTTGGATCAGGAGGTGCTTGTCCTGACCTGTTCCAGCCACGTCACCCTTTGCCCATCTCCTGCAGACCCCCACCTTCTCCAGGTCCAGCCCCTAATTCAAACACTGCACTTACCAAGGCAGTAAAATCAGCATGCTTACGTACTTTACCATTCTTTTATTTTTCTGACATGAGGCAAAGCAGGCAAACCACACGAGTTTATCAGCCTTCGCATACAATTTTAGCTAACCAGAATACTACATTAACAAATGTACCTCATTTTGTAGGCAGTTAATGAAGGTAAATGTGACATACTGCCTCTGGCTCTGCATGGAAAAAGGGGTGTTATTGCCTCATATTATAGCCGGGGAAAAAAAGTGTTAATAATCTTTCTCATCAGCAGTAAAGAATTGGGCTTTTAATACCCAGATATATTTTAGTAAAAGGCTAGTATATCATCTCTAAGTGGAGTTCAAGAGTGACGTTAGATAACTAGGGCATTTCAAGAGCCTGCTTACACTAGAGACTGAGGGAAAAAAGAAAAAAAGAAGAAAAAATTCAGTCAAAGCCAAATGTATTCCTCCATTCTTGAAAGAAAAAAGAAAAAAAATGTGAATTATGTCAGGGATATTTTTATATTGCTTTCAATCAATTCTAGTAATTAATCTTTAAATATTAAGATGGAAACTTGGATCTGGCGAGCGACTTTGAGTAAATGGGTACTGTGTGAACAAGGTCATCGTTTTATTCCAGGACACTCACACAAATGTGTCAGGTGGACCTTCTAACATGAGATGGTGTATTAAGCATGATGGGAGAAGAGTAAAATGAATGAGACACTGTCTAGGCCCCTCAAGAACTTATGCTACTCTTTCCCAGGAAGTCACTTTGCCCCTTTGACAAAGGGGACCTATTGCTTTTGATAAGAGTCAAGAATAGCAGAGATTGGTTTAAAAAAAGAAAAACAAAAAGGATATGGCTTCATGAAAGAAGTCAACCCATCTAGGCCACTTTGAGGTCTTACCATAAAGGAAATAGGTTGGATGATATGAATATTCAATGTGTGTGACTCTTAAACCTGTTCAGTGGAGAACGCTACATCTTGTTTTTGCAACCCTGGGCAATATTAATGACAGTGGCGAGAGTGTAGAGAAAGGAAGGATGTAGAGGCTTATACAGTAGGTTACTAGAGTACTTAAAACTGCATACCTTTTTTTCTAATGTTCCCAAAATGGATACTGAATCAAGATTAGCTCTTCACAAGCAGAATGACAAAGTGACTAACTGCTGGCCCCTGGCAGAGCCCTGGTTTCCCCTCTTTCTGTTACCCGGGATTACTACCCCGATCCATTTCACAGGGGCCTAATGGCAACTTGAAGGTGGAAGGACTGTGTTTGTTCACCTGTGAGTGCTTTGCCCTTAGACTCTGCAGAGCACTGTCAGGAAGTCAGTTTTTCCATGCTCTTTACAGTAAACAAAGACAGTGTGGCTGGGCTCCAAATGTTACAGAAGGTCAGGGACCAAACTGCCTCAAAGACAAAGACCGCTTCCAGAAATTGAAACACAGAATAGATGTGAGCACCATCAACATTCCAAACTGTGCTCCTGTCCAGTGTTTGGTTCAAACAATGTGACACATACCCAGCGTCGAAGCATAACAGAAACAGAATCATAAAACCCCAGGTGCTGGAAAGCACCTTAAAGGTCATCTGGTCCAACTGCAGATCTGAATTGTGAATGCTGCCCTTAAAAATCTCTCTTCCATGCAACCGTCCAGGCTCGGAGGGAACACCTCCAGTGACTGAAAATGCACTGCCCGGGGAGGGAGACAGGACATTTCATCTTTCGAAGCCTTGAGCCAAAAAGGTCAGGCTCACCGGAGCTTCTATTCATTGGCCCTCAATTGAGAGATTTGGGAGCCCAAGTCTAGTGTGCTTTTCACATGATGATCCTTCAAATATTAGAGGGAACCTATCATCAACCACTCAGATGGTTTTCCTCTAGATGAAATATTTGAGTTTCTTTAGCCGCTACTCTGTGACATCAACTCCATTCAATATCCTCTTTTCCAGCCTACGAATACATTCCAGTGTATCAGTGACCCAGTGAATGATATGTCACATGCAACACAACACAAGGTCCCACAGTGCAGCCACACAGAGTAAACAGAACTACCACCTGCCTCCTTTTAAAAGACCAGATTTCAGACAAGGTGGCATAATCTGCCTGTGCTTTCCTAGTGGGCACATCACAATGCGGACTCACTGGGCTCACCTGTGCCCGTTCATACTAAATCACTGGATAGTGACTTTATGCAATTCTCTGACAGTTTTTCTTTCATGTTTGGTTGACATACACGATCAGATTCTATGGCATTAAAAACATAAATAAAAAGGAAAGGAGAAGTAGTAAACAGTCCTTGCAGGAAACATAACTGAGTTTGTAAATACACACACTGTCTCTTCCATGGGAAGAAACAATCCCCATGAGGGCACAAGTTCTTAGAAGGCGGCAAGGAGTACACCTCCTGTTTTCCCTGTGTCACAATCACACTGCAGAAAATGAAATACCTCCCACTATGTAAGATGGCCCGGACCAGAAGGGAGACGACTGGACTGGAAGTCAATAGCTCTGGGTTCTGCTAACCATTTGACCGCTAACTATCTCTGCATCTGCTGTATGATCATAGGTAAGCCGTTCATCTTTTTCCAAACCTTCGTTTGCAAAGTGACAACCTCAACAATAAACGTACCCTGAGCTGCCCAGCGTTTCAACAGTTTACGTGAAATTTTAACTAAATTTCTGAAAACCCATTCTTTAATACAATGGTGTGAATAAAATATTAACCCTTGGCTAAAATTCCCTAAAAACCTTCATTGAAATTAGGTTAAGTTTTACATTAAATCATCTCAAAACAAGTGAACGGCACATTCACAAATTAAAGAGCTCATGTGTCTAGAGTTGTTTTTAAAAGAAGATGCCAATTAGATAAATTAGGTGAGTCCAACTGGGGGT